AGAAGCCTCGGTAGGAAAAAGTAAACAAAGCTGGGGCATAGAAGCAGAACCGAGTCGTATGTGTGGAGGGACAGTAACTGTGTGTGTATATGTAAGCATTTAAACACTGCAGAGACAATTAACAGTAACAGTATTGTAGAAATTCATTTCACCAAAACAATAACGTGGCGCACAGTGTGACGTCACAAAAGGCGCACACCTTTGATGCTGTGTTTTCTGCGTTTTCTGCGTTTTTCTTGTCCACACGTAAATGCAAAAACAGAGTTTTAGAAAATATCCACCCTGGCAGGCGTTTTTAAAAATCTCCGTTTTCAGTGACCAAAAACGCCGTTTACGTGTGGACGAAAGGTGCAAACGCATAGAAAAATCTGCGTTTTCAAAAATAGCCGGGTACGTGTGGACGTAGCCTTTCCCTCCCAGGCTTCTAGAATTGATCAACATTACTTCATGGTTAGGATTTGGCATGTTCTTGACAGCGTTTGACTTCGTTTTTTGTGTTTACATTTTGATGGAGACATTATTTTTTGTAACGAAGACGGAAAATCTCCATTTTAAAAAAAACCCATGTATGTGTGGACATTGCCTTGAATAACAGAAAAACAAACCATCTTTATGGTGTAATTATTTTACGTGTAATTTTTTTTTTTTACTGTGTAAGAATATTCAACATTGCTATTAATACATGTTTTCAAAGCATGCCTCTCTGGGCAAAAGGGATTCAAAAACTTGGAAGGAAGTTGGTTTGGAAGCATATCTGGTGATGCTTTATCTTCTGCTTTGTGTTTGTGTGGGAGCCCCGTCAAAAATCTGTGCATTATGCTAGCAGTGTCCAAGCCTGCCCCCCACTTTGGGAACCACTGGTTTAAGTCGTTGTCTGAGCACTATGTGTCAGGACCACTGATCAAAAACTGTCTTCGCGATGCTTGAATGTCTGGATCTTCAACTACTTTATACAATCTCTGCTTCCAATAGGTGTGGTCATTCAAATCAAGGCTTCCTACCCAATCATTGTATGTGCATGTATTATGGTTCATCCACTGATCAATAAAGTTGTGTTTTCTCAACAACTTTCCTTGTCTACTTCCTTCTTTAAAAGGTTTTTAATTAAATCATTTTTCTAAAAAGACTAATCTAATAGTATATTAACAGTACATTTGTTTGTGGTTGATGTTTTTTAACCATTCATTCTCTTCCACTTAACCTTATCAGGGTTGTGAAGGGGCTGGAGCCTATCCCAGCTGCCATAGGTGAAGAGGCAGGGTACACCTGGAACAAGTTG